ATAAATTAAGTAGAATAAAAACCAATAACTTCTAATAAGGTATAATATGTCTAATAATGGGCTATGATAAAAGTTATGTGAATATTCTCTCAAATTATCGGAATGTACTAACCTCCTTTTCATGATGTTCTGAGAGTACATAGTGCCCAGGTGGCAAGATGAAGTGAAGAGAGAAGTATAGGCATTAATCTACCACGTAAGGGTTATGGGAACACAAACACTGTGACATCAGTAGTCAATCTGATAACCAAGACAGGAAGATGCTGCAAGGTTTTATCGTGCAACTCAGAAGCACTCCACATTTAAAATTTATAAATTCTCTATTCCTGAAATTTTCCGTTTAATATTTTTGGATCTTAGTTGACAAGAGTCCCCAAGACCACAGGAAACAAAACCAAAGTTGCAGTAGGGAGATGCTTCTCTACTAGTTTATGGTAAAGCCACATGGAAGAGATCTGGAGGAGGATGGAGCAGAGCTTTTGTGCCTGCTCCTAAAGTTGCATTGTGTTCACCAATCTGGATGATTTTATTCTATATGCATAATTGTCTGTTTGGTTCCATGGAGCCCTGTCCCATTCCCCAGAGGATGCAAATTAGAGCTCAAAGTTCCAAGCTTCTAACCAAGGCTAGTTCTTCCTGTTAAACAACCCTCTTCCTTCATCCCGAAGTTACTTATGGATCTATCAAGAACCACCTTGCTAGAATAGATAATGCAGGTATCACTTCCCTCGCTTGGGAAATTACAAAGATTTTAGGAGCTGTGGATCAGGCCCCGATGGGGAAAAGAGCACATATCTTCCTATGATACAATAAAAGGGTACACAGCACATTAGAAAGTGGAGTAACATCACATGGTCTCTTCAGTCCCACTGACACTTAGGGGACAGGAGTTTGTGCTGAAAGTTGCAACATCAAAGACAAGTTGAATAGCAGTTTCCAGAAGTGAGGTAGGAAGCTCTCTGTCTAGCAGCTTTTCTGGACATGGGAATAGAAAGTGTGACTTAAAGTGGCAGGTGCTTAGCAAGTCCCTGCTTTTCATGTGTATTTGAGAGATGGAGCAGCTGATGGAGAGTATGAGAGATCAAAGTCCCTCTATGCTTCCTTTGATGCTTGAACCAGAGGAGAAGGAGTAAACTTTGAGTTAGGTGACAAACCTGATCCAATATTCAGTTTGGAGTTGTTGGCCTTGCATATATACACCCCCATTTTGTCATCTTTCAAGTTTTTTATAGAAAGTTGGCTTATGAACATGACTTTAGAAGAGCATGAAGGGAGAGTTGTAGGAATCTGGCGAGAAGCTGGCTTCTGCATTGAGTCTACATGTGATAAAAATCTTGCAGAGTGTTTGAGGATGGGAAGATATAATCCATCAACTAAGCCATCTGTGGGAGCAGACACTCGGAACCAGGAGTGATCTAGAAGACTAAAATCTTTCTCCTGGCCCCCACTTGGAATTTTATACACTCAGTGGTAGAATTTGGATTTCCACAGGGCATATTGTTGGAGGGACATGGGATCTTGTTTTCTTGATGTCTTGATTAAAACACATCAGTAGTTCTAACATTTTGGGGCTTGGGATGCCTTGTATACTCTTGAGAAATATCTAAGATACAAAGTTCTTTGCATTTATGGGGTTGATCTACTAATATTCATCATTTTAGGAGGCCAGCGCCTTAAAAACATTTAATTCTTGGGCAAGCACTGTAGCACAGAATGTGAAGGTGCTATTTGCAAAGCTGGCATCCCATAATGCAGCATCGGTTCAAATCCTTACTGTTCTCCTTCCAATCCAGCTCCCTGGTAATGTGGCTGGGAAAGCAGCAGACTACAGTCCAGTTGCTTGGGTCATTGCCACCTACATGGAAGATTTGGATAAAGCCGCTGGCTCCTGAGTTTGGCCTGCCCCAGCCCTGGCTATTGTGGCCATTTGGAAAATGAACCAGTGGGTGGAAGATTCTCTTTCTCTTGCTGTTCCTCCCTGTCTTTCTGTTACTCTGCCTTCCAAATAAATAATTATCTAAAACATATTGAAATCAAATTTACTCTAAAATCACATTTTTCCAAAATACTTCATTGGGAGTAGTAGTATATTATGGCATTTTTTGAGCATTTCTTTAATATCTAGATTAATAAGGCATCTAGAATACAGCTAGTTCTACAGCCAGTCAATTGTGGTGACACCTATCACATAACCTTTGAAAAACTCCACTGTATGTGAGTGAATGGAGTTGTAAGAGACAAATCCCTACTTGGCATTGTTACAGAAATGACGTTGGCCTTGCAAGCCTTTGCTCTGGGCACTGCTTTACTTGACTGTGCTGTTTCTTCATGGTTCTGAACTTTCTTGCATCTTCCTCTTTTCCTTCTGGTAAACTATAGTTTGGTCACATTTGTTCCAACTCTGTTTTCCAACATTTTGTAAAACTTCAGTTCCCCAAAATGTAAGACTTACTCAAAAGCCATTGAGTAATTCCCCCAGACAAGCCTCAAAAAGAAGGCAAATAAAGCAGTTAGCAATCTAGAGACCCAAGGGGTTTGTACATTAGGAGAAACTTTAGATGAATTGTTGATGTAGAGTTGGAGCTGGCAGCATATCAGTAAGTCACAAAAGTGGTGATATTATATTGCATGCTTTTAAGTTGGGTTCTGCAATGTGGAGAAGGAAGTGCTTAATAATATTAAGGGAGCAATGAGGAATGATGGCAAGAAGACAAGGTCCAGGAGGCAGATGCTGTGTTATCGGATTCATCACCCTGGCCTTTCCCAGCATTTCTGCTTAATGTAGAGTGTATGTGTGCCATACAATGGAAATGCGAGTGAAATATTGACCCTCTTAGCTCTTCAGCAAAAGGAAGGGTCCTTCTTGCTTTCTCCTTCTAACTACAACTTGAGCAAATGAGCAAAAGCTTTATCTGAGATCTGGTATCCTTACTGTTCCACAGGTGTCATTTCTTTTTTTAAAGATTTATTTTATTTTTATTGGAGAGGAAGATCTTCCGTCCGATGACTCACTCCCCAAGTGAGCGCAACGGCAGATGCTATGCCGATCCGAAGCCAGGAGCCTCTCCCGGGTCTCCCACGCGGGCGCAGGGTCCCAAAGCTTTGGGCCGTCCTCAACTGCTTTCCCAGGCCACAGGCAGGGAGCTGGATGGGAAGTGGAGCAGCCGGGACTAGAACCGGCACCAATATGGAACCCCGGGCGTGCAAAGCGAGGACCTTAACCCTTGTGCCACCGCCCTGGGCCCCCACAGGTGTCCTTTCTTAGCATCTCCTGGCTGCTCATCTCCACCAGGAGATCTGAGTTCTGGGAGGAGGGCACCTGGGGAAGTGGACTAGGTGCTGGCCAGTCAGTGGCTCACTGAAGAAAGTAAAAATAGATGTAAATGCTAGACACTCCTTAACCCTTGTGTATTGAGAACAAATGAGAGCTCTGTCGTTGGCTGCCAATCTTCCCCCAAACCATGTTTCCACAGTGTCTAACTGCATTACACTTCCATGCCCATTATTTCACACTTACCTGGCACATGAAGCTCTGGGAAGCAGCAGGCAGTGTGGAATTCAGTAAAAGTAGGCCACTCTGCTGAAGAGGAAGTTGATCCTAAGACCACGAAAGTTTTGGTTCATAGTGTATGGGGCTGGAGGATGGATGAGGCATCCCCAGGTACTACTTCTTCCTAAAAGAATATAGCCTTTCTGCCCGTAGGAGCCTTTTGGATCTTCTGGGTTTCTGTACATTGTAGTCCTAAATTCAGGTGCATGAGAGACATGTGTGGGGTAGTCCCTGCAAGTCAGTCTCCTTTATGGGACTTCTTTCTCTCTAAACCTTTGAAATCATTGCAGGTTTGTATGCAGTTGCAAGAAATAGTAGAGAAAGATTTCTTTTTGGAATGTGTCCTGAAAAACAGTCTAAAAGTTTAGAAAGAAATGAAATTTATTACTTGCAGTTTGGGCAGCTGGGAAATCCATGAACCTGGAGAGGATCTGCTTGCTACATCCTAACATGGAAGAAATAGAGCCAGCTCCCAGCTCAGGTCTCTCTTCCTCTAAAGCTCCTAATGCCACCATGGGAACCCCACAATCACGATCTCGTTTAATGCCATCCCCCACCAGAGGTTCTACCTCCAAATACCACCAATACATGAATCTCAGGATTAAGTCTCCACACATGAATTTGGGGATGGTTGGGAAATTTAAATCCTAGCAGGATGGCAATGATGAGGGTGATGTCTACCTCCAGACAAGCCTGTTTCAGAACTGAGATCTGCTTCCCTAGGTCACTGCTCAAGTATTTTCCCATGATATGTATTATAAACCCCCATCCACAGGAGCCTTTAGGCCTGCCAGAGACTAGAACTGCAACTCAGCTTCCCTCCAACTCCCTGGGGTTGGAGGGAGGTAAACTTATGCTTTAAACTTGGTCCAAAGTAACATCTACTATTGCTTTTCAGAATAAAAACAAAACAAAATGCAACCTTTCTATGGCAGAAATTTTAGAAAAATTGAAAAATGAAAATGAAAAGTAAGATAGGGAAAAAAAAATTAGAATCCACCACAATTGCACTGTTAACAAGTTCAAAAGTTTTTGTCTCCTTTCCTTCTAGTGTTTGGTAATTTTGCAGACACAACCCCAGGTTGAAAATATTTGGGGGGAAAAAACCATCAGTACTAAATGTGTATAAACAATTTTTCTTCTTATTATTTCCTAAGCAATGCAATACAACTATTTACATAGCACTTCCTGTGCATTTGGTATTTACATAATCTAGAGATTATTTAAAGCACACAGGAGAATGTAAGTTCTCAGTAGATACGATGCCATTTTATAGAAAGCACTTGAAAATTCATGGATTTTGAAATCCACAGGGAGTCTCAGAAGCAATTCCTCATGGATACTGAAGGATGACTGTATTTGTTAGCTAACATTTGAACACAAATGTGTATAAAATCTATGATCCTTTAAAAAACAATCGCTCTTCTAAATGTACTCTAAAAACTGAGAGCTGCTGTTGTTTTTTATTATGAAATTCAAAGTAAGACCAGTAGTCTGCCAAGGATGGCTGCCAGATGGGACAAACAAGCCTTTGCACCATCAAGGAATAATAGGAGAGAGGTGGCCATCCTTGCTGTAGTGACACAATAGGAATCAGATATGAGTCAGTTGAGAGGAAACCAGCAACGGAGAACTAGAACTCTTGGCCTTGTGTCCAGCAAGGCATTAGGAGCCACTGTACATTCTTGAGTCGGAAATGACATTAACTAAGGGATTTCCCCAAGGTCAGCTGTGAAGCAGAAGGCAGGATGAGCTGAACAGGGGTTAGGAGAGCAGGGGCAAGAGACTGGCTCTGTGAGTGGGGAGCAAGCCCACCCCTGGGAATCAGACAGTGGAGGCAGCAGGAATGAGGCTACTTCTGGGCCGCCAGGATGGAGAGTGACCGATTGATCTTCACCATGGCAATAATGAGGAGGCCACCAGTGAGCAGGAAGGTGGGCCAGAAGAGGGAGGAAAGGAGAGCCTGGGGCCCATAGAGACGCTGGTACAGGACGCTCGTCTCATTCTCCCGCATCGCAGAGAAGCAGTAGAAAACCTGGCGCTCATGGAACTTGGCTCTGACCTTCTCAACATCAGCCCTGGCCATCTGGTAGTTGTCCAGGCTTCCAGGGATGTAGGAGCACTGTTGGGAGAGAAACAAGAGCACCTGTGGGTTAGATGCTTATGTGTCTTAGGGTTCTAAACAAGGAGGCTTGGAGGGGAGTAAAAATGAATGCCAGCTTCTCTGCAGTGGAATCAGCATTTCCATTTGAGCAATGTGTTGCCTCAGAGGGCACAATGACTGCATGTTGTGTGTGGCTGGTGGACCTGGAACTCTCAGGTACCCCTGTGCACTTGGATGCAGGGCCCCAGGTGGGTTCCTAGCTCTGCTTCTGTTGGCATAGTAAATTGCTCATCTATTCTGAGCCTGGATATTTTCCTCGCTTAAATAGGTTAATAACAATATCATGTCCAAAGGGTATTACTAAAGACTTCAAAAACCTGTCTAAGGAGGCCAGTGATTGACACAGGCCCAGTAGGAGCAGAATTGAAAATTAGACCAGAGGCCATATGCTCAGTTGCCCATAGGGTTCATTTGGGTGGTGTCCACAAGTGAAATGGGCCAAGTAGTAGGGGCACGGATGCCATGTGATGTCTGCTTCAGTGCCAGGGATAACTGGGAGAGAGTGACAGAGCCTGGTAAAAGGGAAAGAGCCAGCTGCATCACCCAAACTGGCAGTCCCCACTATCTCTGGCCAAGCAATACATGCCAGCCAGAAGACCAACAGCAGCCAGGCTGAAAAGAAATCAGAAAAGGAGATTTGAATGTAAATTCGCACAACTCAAAAACATTGGCAGAAACCCGAACTGAAAAGTTCTTTGATGTCTGAGCTTAAGTGAAGCAAACAAAATCTGTTGGGAAGCTAGCATTTGATGCTGGGCCCCAGAGGAAAGAGAACACATTGGAAATAAGTCTCTGCAGGCAGATTACTAGGAACTTTCTGGTCTGGTTAGATGAAGTCCAGCTAGAAAGTTTTCTAAAGAAGGTATCTAATGGACAGCCTGCCTGGCTTTATCTTTGTTCTGTGCTGGCAGGCTTCAGTGTTACTTGGGTAAGCCACAGGGAGGTGCTCTGGACGGGTGGTCCCCTCCTTACCTGCAGAATCCCAGCGCAGGGCTCCCCACTAGCACATTTGTACTGACTCTGAATTGTTGAGGTGCGGCTCAAAAGTCAGGTGCTCACTACAAAACTCTAAAGATGGAGGACCCCTGCACTTGTGAAATTACATCTGAGATCAAGTGTGCAGACATGAAACCCAAATGGCCAGTGTTGAGTTGGCTTCTCCCCAAGCTGTGGACTTCCTGAGTTTGAATGAGGTCTGTTCCTGACAGCGTTCAGTCAATGTGGCGAATGTTGTATCACGCTCTGGCAGCCTAGAAATGGGGGAGAGTGGCCTCCAGATGTAGATGTCTTTCCAGTGAAGGAACAGGTGGAGTAGTGAGATGTTGGCTCCTGAGGACCTGTCATGCAGAACTGCAGGGCACAACAGGGTTCTTTCTTTCCTTTTTTTTTTTTCTCAAAGATTTACTTATTTTTATTGCAAAGTCAGATATACAGAGAGGAGAGACAGAGAGAAGGATCCTCCATCCGAGAATTCACTCCCCAAGTGACCGCAATAGCCGGTGCTGCGCCAATCCGAAGCCAGGAGCCAGGAACCTCCTCCAGGTCTCCCCAATGGGTGCAGGATCCCAAGGCTTTGGGCCATCTTTGACTGCTTTCCTAGGCCTCAAGCAGGGAGCTGGATGGCAAATGGGGCTGCTAGGATTAGAACAGGAGCCTATATGGGATCCTGGTGCATTTTAGGCAAGGACTTTAGCTGCTAGGCCATTGTGTCGGGCCCACAGGGTTCTTAAGAGCATGGATCACTTCCCCGAACTAATTACTGGAGACCTGGCTCGAGTCTCCTCCAGGCTGCTAGCTATGACCTTGAAAAACCTTGCCTCCTGAGTACAGTTGTGGACATGGAGCCAGACAGGCCTAAGTTCAACCACCAGTTCTTACTTGTGTGACCTTGGTCACTAACACAACTTCTCTGAACCTTGCGGAAGGGACTCATGAGGGTGTCTTGTAACTGGAACTGTCATGATTTTATATCAGCTGTATGAGACACAAGGTGAGTGGGTACATCATTGTCAGCCTTGGGGATGTGGACACATAGGGACAAGCTCACACACCTGTCAGGGACAAAGGGATGTGTCTCTGTGCCCTGATGTCAGTACCTGCTGGTTCCGGTCCCGAGTATCCTCCGTGTGGTACAGCATAGCCCACTTGCCCACAGCAGACACATTGACCCATAGGCATGGGTATTGGGGCACCTTCTTGCCCTCCAGCTCCTCCTGGTCCCTGATGTTGGTCTCAATCAGCTGACACAAGGCTTCCTGGGTCCACACACTGAGGAAACCACACACATATACACACACATCAGAACCAGGATGACACACAGAGTAGCTCCTTTGAATGCTTGATTCCTTGGGAGCCCTTAAAGGCCTCCAGCACTGGGACCCTTGTCTTGTCATAAATGCCTGGCACTGATGGCATAGGAACCCAGAGTCCCTGGACTTGGAGAGGAACCAGAATCCAAATTCCAGAGTTGATGGGGTATTGGTCTTCATCTGCATGAATGGTTTTCAATCCTGGAGACTCACCCATAAACCTGGGGAGCTTTCAGAGCAATGCTTGTGGCCAAGTCACATCTCACACCAAATGAATGATAACTTCTCAGGAGGTGGGGCCCAAACTCTCATGTTTCCTTAGAAAGCATTTCAGTACACCTCTGGCCAGCAGCCAGACCTGAGATCTCCTTGCTCACAACAGCCTCACTGACAGAGGTACAAAGGGGGTTCTGAAAGATCAAGTGACTGTTCTGAGGCCACACAGCTCCTGAGGTGTCTGAGAGTCTGGGTGACTTGAGAATCTGTCCCTTACCCTAAAAAATAGCAGATGCTAGAGCAGGGTGGGACTAGGTAAGATGGGAATGGTGTGCAGTTGGGACACAGCATATGGGAGGCACATGGCTGCTCTGAGCAGTGCCTCACTCGGGTAAGATTCCAGCCTGGATTGGCTCCAGTGTTGTAAAAGAGTGAGGACAGTGCAGGCCCCAGAGAGCTACCCAGCTCAGCAACACACTGACACATCACTTATGACTCATCCCTCTTTTATCCTGCGGGAGATGCATTGCCAGGCATGGCGAGGAGGTGGAGGGGGAGGTGCCAGCGGCTGGAACGGGCACAGAGGCAGGGTCTGAGATTTCTAAGTACGGGCTGAGAGTCCCAAGCATGTTTGCTCCAAACAGAGCATGAATCAGGGATTTCTCAGCTCCTCCATAAAAGCTTGAGTGGTGACATGGCACTAAGCAGGGCATGGAATGTTCTCTAAGATTCCTCAACAGAATTCCAGGGAAGCAGTTGTGGACTCCATGCAAACACTTCCTACTTAGCAGAGAACTGTCCTCTGCCTGTGGTTTTTCTGAGGGGAGAAAACTACAAAGAAGCTGCGAAAGTCTGAGACTCTGATTCTTTGCTGCAGCAAGAAGTGTTTTTTCTATCCTTGGCTGCTTCTAAGAGAAGGGCACCTTGCACCTGCTATCATCCAGGCCTGATCAGGGTAGGCTCAGCCCAGCTTACCCTCCCTACCCTGGAACTAAAAACAAGCATTCTCTTGACTGTCCTACCTAGTGTGAGAGTCAGATCAGAGTTGAAGTTCATTGTAGACACCAGATCTTTAGAGGAGAGCCAAGAGTTGGGGGACCAGTGAGCAGGGTGTGGTACCTTTTCTGGTAGAGGGGCAGCACAGTAGTGCCCAGGATGTAGTAGGTAATGACAGCACACATCACCATGGCCACACCCAGGCAAAGGGCTCGAGTCTCTCCCCGTTTCTGGGCCATCACCAGCTTCTTCCCCATGTCTTCTGGGGACAGCAGTCATCTCTAGGACGACAAAGGAAAACAAGGAAATGATATCAGCCAAAGTACACAGGGAAAGAAGGACAGGGGAAAGGGAAGCAGACTTGACCATTAACATCCCTGCTTTCACGGAGGTAGCGTTGCAATGTCCAGAGGGCTTTTTGTTGACCACCACTCACCAGAAGGTGTTACCTCATCTTGCTTGATGTACAGATAAAGAATCTGTGGCTCAGAGAGGTCAAGTTTGCATAGCACCTGATAGGCTCATATCCCCAAGATGTTCCAATGTTGTAATCCCTGGAATCTATGTCATTTTAAATGGTAATGACTTTGCAGAAGTACTTAAGGATCTTGAGTTAAAGAGAAAGATCTCAGATTATCCAAGTAGACCCTAAAATGACTGCCCATGAGGATGCTAAAGAGGGAGGCATGGGTTGATTAGACATAAAAGGAGGAAGTAGGACCAGGGAGACAGATTGGGATGACGTAGTCACAAACCAGGGCTTGTGAGAAGACAAGGAACCCTGTGTACCCTGGGAAGATTTGCAGACTCCAACTACACAGACAGTGGGCTGCTCTTGCATGGGGTCATCTTGCATAGGACCACAGGAGGCTAACACAGCAAGCAAGTAGCAGATTTGTATTACTCCACATCTGCCCCCCTGCAGGGATGTTCCCAGAAAAGCTAGGTGCTTTTACCTACTCTGCTGAGAAACAGGCTGGGCTGAAGGCAGTATGCAAACAAGGGTGTGAGGTGCCAACAGGAAGCACAGGCCATTGGGGCAGGAGATTTCTCAGATCTGAATCCCTACAAGGGTCACCTCCCCATTTCCAGCACAAGAAGACGGTAGTTTGGGGACCTCAGGGACTAACATCTTGACTTAGGCCTGGAAGACACCTTCAGCCCCAACAGAATGGGGCTGGGAGTCACTGATTGCTCCCTGCGGCCACTTTCCTTCTTGCCATCCCCCTCTTCCCAGGGCAGGTATATTCCCACTCCTCACCCCTCAAGTCAGATCAGATTTATAGAGAGAGCAAGCCACGCAGAGAAAAATCTTCCATTCACTAGTTCACTTCCCCAATGGCTGCAAGGGCCAGAGCTGAGCCAATCCAAAAGCAGGACCAGGACCTTCCTCTGGGTCTTTGACATGGGTGCAGGGTCCCAAGGCCTTGGGCCATCCTCTATTGCTTTCCTAGGCCAGAAGCAGGGAGGTGGATGGGAAGTAGAGCAGCCAAGACATGCATCCATGCCCACATGGGATCCCAGCACTTGTAAGGTGAGCATTTAATCAGTGGATTAATGGAATCTTTAAAAAGTAGCCCTCCAGCAGGTGCCACCCAGAGCCACATCGTGCTGCCTAGCTGTAGTCCTCCTGTGGGTTTTTCACTTATTCTGGTGGCTGTCCTAGAGCCTTCCTGTGAATTTCCTTATTGTTACTTTTTTATTCATTTGAAACTAACCAGAGCCATTGTTACCAAAAGCACCAGGGCCCTGGGACCCTTTCTTGGGAATCCCCTATTTAGGGGAAATTGTAAATAGATATGGCGGCTGGCGGGAGGGGGTCCACTTTTTTTTTTACCTTCCAGGTCCCCAAAACAATAAGAGTACATTGTTTTTCTAGCTTAGTGTCTAGGAGACAAGCATTAGCTCAGAAGGCTTTCCAGCAGCGTACTTTATTTTGCACTCAGCTTGTCTGCTGTACTGGATTGTTTTATACATCCCATCAGCGCTCCCTTACACCGCTGCCTGCCAAGCAGCCCTAGCTGCGACTGCCCTAAAGAGGAGAGCCCACAGTTGGGCACCAGGATTGCAGCTCTATCCCACCCTCCCTGTGAAATGGCCCGCCCCCACCCTTTGACTGACAGACATAGCACCCAGTGACAACTTTTCCTCCCTCACTTGGGGAAGCCCAGAGGGAAGCCCTTATATTCTAACAGAGACACCATCAAGTCACCAGTAGAAAAAACGTTCCCCTGGCGATGTAACATGTTCTTGTCTGTGCTTTCATATCCTTTTCTGATAGTTCTATGGGCTTCTGGGAAATGCGATTTTCTCCCTGGTACCTGTTCTGGCTTCTGAAGTTCATGCACCTTTTCATAGGATGGCCTGGAGGTGAGCAAAAGGTTTTCCAGCTGTGTGCTGGATATAGGAAAGATGGCAAATGGCAGAGGCAGGCAGGGTTTTGTAGAGTTCTGTGGGATCGGGTAGTTAAACAGACATCTGCTCCTTAGAAGGACATAGGTGACATAGAAGTTTTTAGGTTTGATAGGGTATAGGGCAGAGGGATTCTGAGGTCACCAGACATGGCATCAAATCCAGGCTTTGCCACTTGGCAACCACGTGGCTATCACAGCAGAGAAGACTGATACCTGCCTCAGAGAGCTCTGAAAGAGGTGAAACTTTCCATCACCTTGCATGCAGGTCTCATGGTGCTTGGCCAGCGCCAGCCCTCCAGGAAAACCACCTGCTGGTCTTAATGCACAGGAAAGCCTGAAAGTTGGGTGCAGAAGTCTGGAGTGCTCCTGCCATCCCTAGGTATTATTCCACGCCACTGGCGGCACACAGCAGGACTGGCTGAGCTCATTTGCTGCCCTCTGGCCACTCTGGATGTTGGGCCAGGGCAGGGCCACCCTCTGCTGACCAGGAGCCCAGAATCCTGGTTGTCAGCCCCCAGAGGAAGGGGCTGCCTGGCTGTCCCTCCCAGCCCCATCTCAGGCTGCTTCCCGTGGAACTCCCTGCAGCCCCCCCTTTCCCAGGCTCTGGGATGCGTTACTCACAGGCTCCTGGTGCCTTGCGGGTCTTCAGCAGACAGAGGGCTTCTTTCTGCCTGGTCCCCCAGCCCCCACCCCAAAAGAGGCCCCGGAGCGCTAGCAGGAAGTTTGGCCTCCCAGCCCGTCTCCAGGGAAGCAGCCTTGGGTCCCCATCTGGGACGAGCCTCCATGCCCAAACATGGTCAAGTCTGAGCGCACAGCCTCAGGAAACAGACAAGAGATCGCAAGGACCCAGCCTGGACTCAGCAGCTGCAGTCCAGGCCCCGGCACCTGCATTGCCCAGAGTCTCATGAGAAACAGATTTCAAACAACAGACAGAAACAACACTCAGAAACCAGAAAAGACTGTCCGATATATTTGGAAGCATTTCTTCTTCAATGGGTCTCTGTGCTGGCAGAGATGCAAGAGTAGGGTTTTGCTTTTTTTTTTTTTTTCTGTTGGCCCAGTGGAGGGAGGAGGAGTTGAATGGGGTGAAGGGGAGGGAGGCTTGGCTGGTCACCAATCCTGGGCATAATCCTGTGGAGCAGCTATCCCCTCTTGCCTTGACCGTTCATGCTGTGTGACCCTGGAAAGGTGATGGCACTTTTCTGAAACTCAGTTTTCTGCCCTGGACTATCAGGATTTGAATCTTACTTTGTGAGTAGGTAGCATGATGCACTAGGGGTGGAGCCACCACTCATGGACACCAGCACACCATATGAGCACTGGTTGAAGTTCTGGCTGCTTTATTTCCAATCCATCTCCACGCTGATGCACCTGGGAAAGCAGCAGCAGATGGCTCAAGTGCTTGGGCCCCTGCATCCATGTGAGAGACACAGAAAAAGCTCCAGGTTCCTGGCTTTGGTCTGGCCCAGCCCCAGTGTTTGCAGCCATTTAGGGAGTGAGCCAGTGTATGGAAGATCTCTCTTTCTTTCTGCCTTTCAAATAAATAAAACAAATAAAATTTAGTTTAAATATTTACTCTTGTCCCTGTAGTATGAGGGTTAGAGATGGGGGTAGGGGAGTATTAGGGCAGCAGAAGACAATGCTCTAAGGTCAGACCTCTCCACGGCCGTTTCCAGTGAGCCTTCTGCTGGGATAGCGTAGCGGTCACGGCCTTCGCAGGCATTCAAAGCGGAGGACCGCTGCTATCAGTAAGGCGTGGGTTCAGCATCGCGGGCACACCATGATCTAGATTTCCTTGTTTCATCACCTGTCAGGATAAAAGCTCAGCACACTCATGTACTGGGCCTCTTGTCAGAACCCAGATAATACGCCAGGGCAGCTTGCTTGTCCTAGTGACACAGTGAAGAAGCAGACATTGAGATCCGGAGGCTCCAAATAACAGGTTGAAGGTTACTGTGCCCTGCTGGCCAGAGCCAAGTTCAAGATGGTTCTTCTCAATTGCAGAGCCCAGGTTGCTTCTGCTGAGCCAGGAGCTGACAGAACATGTGAAAGTGCCAGGGACCAGCTGCCTGAGGTTCTATGGGGAACCCCGAATACTCCTGGAACTCAGGCAGCTGCCTGGGCTCCCTGGTTACCCCTACCCCTGTCTGCCTCCAGCTGCTGAGAGGTAACTGTCAGGCTGGGACATGAGAGTGGCCTTTTAGGCCTCCTGGCTCTTCCCAACCCCCCCCCCCCCACTGTACCAGCAGAAGAGTATGCTGCCTATATAATGGGCATCTTAGCTAAGAGGGTCACGAGACCACCTTGCAGGTGGGTGAACAATGAAGGATGCAGGATCAGAAATTAACCCCAGGGAGAATGATTCCCCTCCCCAGCCCACCCCCTAGAGCTGGTCTTTGGCTTGTTGTCTTGCTGGAGAAGTCTTCCTGAGGCCCATTTGTGAATCCAGAGGTGCCAGCCCTCCCTCCAGTCCCTTGGGGGCAGAATAAAGACACAAAGCAGCCGATTGCCATTTTTAAGTCTGATCCAGGGGCGGCTTGCTCATTATGAGCTGGGAAGGGCCACACATTTGGAATTCATAAACACACAGGAGCCTTCTCCCTGAGGTAGTGTTCCAGGCTGGGAAGGAGTTGCAGGCTCCTCTCCCGTGCCTACATGAACTGCAACTGAAACGCACCGCTCAGCCTTGCCTTCCGGGGTGTGTGGAGGAAAACCTGTGTCCTTGACTGGCTGTGGGGTCATGGTTGAGAGACAGTTGCAAGTGAAGGGCAAGGAAATAAACTGCTATTGATGCTTGGCATTAAAACTGGGTTTCAGAGATCAAAATTTCTCTTTTTATCTTCAACTTTCCAATAAGCCATAGGGTCATAGAACAGTACAGGATGATAGTACCCAGCCAGGTAGAGATTTGGACCTGTTATACAAAAGGGGCAACTGACATTCATATGTGATGAATAAATTGCTCAAGCAAGTTACATGGCCTGGGCCTCAATTTGTCCATCCCCAAAATGGATATGAATCTACTGAGACCCTTGGAGTTCTTGGCACACGAGAGATCACTCCAGTTTGAAGATGGTCTTTCTCAGCACTCCTATGCCAGCATACATCACATCCAGGGAATTTTTTCAGCTTCCCACCATCCTTAAGAGCCTCATGTATGTCCTCCCCTTCAGCCTGCGTGGGGCTCCATAATTTCCTTGTCAACAAATGTGGTGGTAGAGACCCAACCCAGCTTCTAAGTCCTAAACAGGGATGCACTCTCTTGGGATACTTCCCCTGGAAACAGTTGAAGGTGGCAGGAAGCTGAGGCCATGTGCTCCACCTGACAGCCTCTGCTCCAGTCTTTTTTTTTTCTTCTTCTTTATAGATTTATTTTTATTGGAAAGGTGGATATACAGACAGGAGAGACAGAGAGGAAGATCTTCCATCTGATGGTTCACTCCCCACCTGAGCGCAACGGCTGGAGCTTAGCCAATCAGAAGCCAGCAGTCAGGAGCTCTTCCTGGTCTCCCACATGGTTGCAAGGTCCCAAGGCTTTGGGCCATCCTGTACTGCTTTCCCAGGCCACAAGCAGGGAGCTGGATGGGAAGCAGGGCCGTCGGGATTATAACCGGCGCCCATATGGGATCCTGGTGCAAGGTGAGGACTTTAATCACTATGCTATTGTGCTGGGCCCGTCTTTTTATGCTCCAGTCTTGCCAACAGCCCAGTGTCCCTCCTCAGGTTTGGGAGTGACCAAGCCTGCAGAGGGTTCCAGCCTCCAACCTTGGAGCCCCTCAGGCCTCCCACACCCTGAAGCATGGACAAGCCAGCCTCTCTGGGCTGTCTCTGGATACCTAATCCATAAAACTATGAGCAGAATAAATGATTGTTTCCTGCCTCTGTGTGTTGGAGTCATTTGTTTTGCAGCTGTGATACCTGGAACACAGCGTAAATGATTGAGAAGAGGAACTCTTAGTGAAGCTGCTCATGGTGAGAGCATTCAACCAGTGAGAATTACAAACCCGAGCTTGCTGTGTGGAGGGCCCAAGAGTAGTCCAGACAGGCTTTATCTATGTTTCTATTTGGTTGCACACTGTGCAGAAATGGGAGACAAGGATAATAATCTGGGAAAGCATTTTCATTCCTGGAGGACCTGCTATGTGCCAGAGCATGAGCCACACACACACTACATACATACACATGCACACACATGTATAGGAGTGCATACATGTTCACATACACACACCGGGGCAGTTGCCTCCCACTCCTCTGTGATTTCACTTCCTGTAACCTGATCAACCATGATCTCAAGACATTCAATAGAAAATTCTGGAGAGAAATAATGTTAAGTTATAAATAACTTTTTATTACAACATGTTGTTAGACTTGTTCTATCTTTATAGTAGCCATTGTTACTGATCTCTTACTGTCTCTGACAAATTAAACTTTATCAAAAGTTAGTACAAATGGGAGAACACAATATACTTAAGGCTTGGTGCTGTCTGAAGTCTTAGGCATTCCCCGGGAGGTCAGAACACAACCAGGGTCTAAGGTACGCACACTCTGGATGTATACAAGCCAGAGTAACATTCCTCCCCACAAAAGGCCTATTCTTTCTCAGAACACAGTAAAGCCCCAGAATGTGATGTGGTGGAGTCAGGATTTGAACCTGTCCCCAGGGACTCCACTGCCTAGCCTGGTGCCTGTGCCTCCTAGGAGGCCCTTGGGGGCGGCTTTCCACAGGAACAGTGTTGTGACATCGCTCCAGCCACTTCACACACCCTGTTCTCTTTAGTTTCTCTCCCTTTCTGGATTATACAGCCACTTATTTCTTTCAGTCCTTCTGAATCAATATCTATTCTCTGCCGACACTCGGGGAAAATAACTCCCATAAATCAAGTCGATGACGGCCCATGCAGAGTATGCATCACTCTGAGTGCCGGGCAGAGGATGGGATGAGCCTTCCTCAGTACTGGCAAGACGATTGGTTCTCAACTATTTGTGCACCTGCGATGCTCAGGCTCTGAAGGCCTTCCCTATGTTGAGCTGAAGAAGGTGCCCCTTCCCTGTGGGGAAGGAATTTAGAATTCTCTGAAGTTGTAAAAATGTAAATCAGAAGATGCTTGAAGGGAGAGCATATAAAAGCAACTCTGGAATGGAACCATTCATGTATTTTCAATTATGTTACAATTATTGTTACAATTGTATTGTTACAATTGTTGTTACAAAATTGTTACAACTGCATTGCTACAATTGTTGTTACAATTGTATTGTTACAATCTATTGTTACAATTACTCTAGTTTATTAGGAGTTACTGTTACTTTCTTACTGTGCCTGCATTGTAATTAACCTTTATCATAAGATTCTCATGTGTATAGGGAAAAGCATGATGTGTAAAGGGAAAAAATGTGTAAAGTTTAGTCTTATCCTCCCTCATTTTCAGAAACCAACTGGGGGTCTTGGAAGGTACCCCTCCACCTTGGTAATAGGACACTACTGTAATAAAAAGCAGAGAAAATAATAATGGGAGGAAGACAAAATGTAACAGCAAAATTCAACATCCATGTTAGAACTAAATGTCAGGGTTGGGCTTCTGACATAGCAGAGAAAGCCACCTTCTACAATATCGGCATTCCATTTGAGCTCTGTCCACTTCGAATCTAGCACTCTGCTAATGCCTGTGAAAGCAGTGGAGGCTGGCTCAAGTCCTTGGGTCCCTGCCATACACATGGGGGATTCAGGTTGAGGCTCCTTGCTCTTGTCTGTAACAAC